AACTGTGACGACACCAGACTGTGATAAACTGGCCAGCATCGCAATGTGTGCACTCGAGAGCCTTTATTAAGTAAGACAGGGCTCTCTCCATATCTATCAATATAGTACTGGATTTCCTGCTAGAGCAATAAGACAACAAAAGGAGATCAAGGGGATACAAATTGGGAAGGAAGAAGTCAAAGTTTTGCTACTTGCAGATGATATGATGGTGTACATAAGTGACCCCAAAAACTCTACCAGGGAACTCCTACAGCTGATAAACTCCTTCAGTAATGTGGCAGGATACAAAATTAACTCAAAAATTAAGACAAGGGTCACCAGAACCTGAGACCCTGCAAGCTGACCTCATCACCAACGTGAATCCAGGTGACTCGTGGGCTGGAAGCAAGAGCCACGAAAAGACAGCTTGCACCGTGCTGTGCTGCCGGCATGGCCCACAGCTTGAAACACGAATTGTTGATTTTTGTGACTCTACTTAATATTTGTAGACTGCAGGTGACTTAACTATGGAAAATGTAACCACTGATAAGAGGGAACCAGTATAAGGAAAACATCAGATTTAAGAGGAAAGTATCCTGAATTCAAATATAAGAAAAATTCTTAAGTATATACATGGTACTTTCATGTATGGATCGGGCTGAGTGTTTTAACGTGTCGGTCTCTCTTTAGCACTTTTAGGGTGTGATAGCAGATAGAGACGACACTGTCTTGAGGGCCGAGGGCTGGAGAAGGAGATGGGAATGGTGGCTAAGCCTGATGCATAGTGGATGCTGTTGTGGATTAAATCGTGCGGAAGGTGGGAGAGATCAGAGAAAATAGTGGAAAGCTGCTTTAAACTCACAGCTGTATTAGAAAGTTAAGGAAGAGATGGTTTTTAACACACCCCACGACATCTGCATTAGTTTTTTGTGTTGCTGTGATATGATTACCAACAAAAGCAACTTATGAAGGATGATAACTGGGTTCTGCCGGGTCAATTTCCAAGAAACACCAACGTTCAGACCATATTGTGGAAGTGCTATGAACATTTTAATCAGATAGGTTGTGTTAGGCATACTAACTAGTCAAGATTATACTATCTGTTTAATTTTATGTCCTGGTCTTTTTCATTGATTTTTTAAAAAGATATTTTTGACATTCCTTCCCAATCATCATGAATTCTTGGTGGCATATAGTATCACCACAGTAGGACTCTAAGTCAATATGGTGGGGGTTGGTGGAATGCCACTGTGTGCCTAGGACCATGCTCCATCACAAACAAAATACGTGCAGCTCCATCTTCGCAGGACTTGTAGTCAGCCAGGTGTGTGACTTATCTATAGTTAGACATTAACCTAATTCCTATATTGGCTGAAAGGATTTGGAATATAGGCTTGGAATCAAATATAAGATTTGGAATCAAACAAAGACAAGACTGATTTCTGGCTCTCTTGTGTATGGGCTGTGTAGCTATGGATCATCTTGTAGCCTTGCTCCATCTCAGTTTTCCTATCTGTGGTATGGGGATAATGGCACCTATATTAGAGAGTAGATTAAATGCAACAGTGCATTTAAACATACTGCACAGTAAGTAAAGAGCTGAACAATAGTTTGTAGTAATATCAACAGTGGCAGTAGTCTGTGTACATGACTATAATAGGTATTTTGATTCATCATTGTTATAATTATATATCTTTTTTTTTTTTTTTTTTTTTCAAAACAGGGTTTTTCTGTGTAGTTTTGCGCCTTTCCTGGATCTTGCTCTGTAGACCAGGCTGGCCTCGAACTCACAAAGATCTGCCTGCCTCTGCCTCCCGAGTACTGATATTAAAGGCTGCTATAATTATATATCTTTTAAGAAAAGAGAAATCTTTCATTTACTGTCAAAAAGTACACAATCTTTTATATAGTAGTCTTTGTGTAACAAACAAACAAACCTGTAATTCTCTACAGAGTATCTCTAGTGTTTCAGGACAGACTTTCTTGTAAGCCACAGAGCAGAGATCCTGTCTGGGAGCTTACTAATGTTGCATAGTGATTTGACCAAGAGTGCTTTTCTTCCAGCCTGCAACTGCCACGGGCATGCCGCAGACTGTTACTACGACCCGGATGTGGAACAGCAGCAGGCGAGCTTGAACACCAAAGGCACCTATGCAGGGGGAGGGGTCTGCATCGACTGTCAGGTGAGAGGCACGCATAAGCAGGCGTCCACCCTGGTGTTGGCCTGGAATCCGGTCTTCAAGTAGATCCAAGTGGCAAAGCTGTCACCATAACAATAGGGGCTCACACAGGCCCCTCACTATGTGTGTGTGGGGGGGTGAGCTAGAGGGAAGTACAAGAGCAATCAGCGGGACACAGTCAGGCCTTCCACAGACGGCTCTGAAACAACAATGAGATGCTATGTGGAAAACTTAAGCCTTGATCCCTGCTCACATATATAAAGTTGACTTGGTATTAAACAATGGACGAGAGTGAGCTGAAGCTGTAAAACCTGAGAGAAAAGCATAGAATCCCTGTGCGATTCAGAAGGTGAGAGACTTTCCTCAGTCATAGAAAGCTGTAATCTTGAAAGATGAAGAAATCCAATTTCACTGAAGTGAAAAACTTCTGCTCACTCCCACTGAAGAAAATGAGCGGGCAAGCTGCAGACAGGGAGAGAATATTCACAAACTGAAGTCTGTCAGATGGTCGGTAACCACAACAAATAAAGAGGTCCTAAGCTCTTAAATGCAGACAGGTAACCCCACATACACACAATAACCAAACAGCCTCTTACGAGTGTTTTAGTATGTCAGCGACCAATAAGCTGGCAGTCAAGGGCTGAGCTGCTTCCATCAGGAGGGACATGCCAATCAAAACCACAAACACCTCCACCTCTCACCAAGATGGCAATTATTAAAAAGCCTAGCAACTAAATTTCAGTGAGATGTGAAACAACTGTAGATACCATTCCCCCATCGATACAAATGCAAAATGGTGTGCCATGGCTCTGGCAAAGGCCCAACAATGTATAAAATGCAATGAAACATGCACCTTCCTACCCTGGGATAAACCCTACTCCCAGTTTATCTATAAGAAACAGAAATGTTTTGGTTGTGAGCCAAACCTTTAATGGCTGGGCCATCTCTCCAGCCCCAGAAATGCTTGTTTTCCAATAACCTCGGTCATCAGTAGTAGGATCAACAGACAAATTCTTGCTCAATTGCATAACAGAACATTAAAGGGCAGAGAGGACCTTGGGCTGATGCTACATCACAGCCCTGAGGATCTTAGGAGCAGTGTGGTAATGGAAAATCAGCTTTCACAAAGAGTTCATGTGTGTGGCCGCCACTGGCACAAAATTCTTAAACACAGGTTAGTAGAGAAAGTATCAGAAGTGTGATTAGCTCTAAGGAGGTGTAGTGGTGGGGGGTTGACTGAGCAGGAACATGGGGATTTTCTGAGGTGAGGTGTTGTTTTATACTGAGATAAGAAATTGAGCTTGGTGAATGTACGATTAAGAGTTTTGTATGTACCAAATATGTTTTATAAGAACGAAAATCACAAGCATGTGTTGAACTCCAGTTAGTTAAGTCCAGGCTTAAATACTTGGATGGATGGCACCTGTAGTATTTGGGAATACACAAAAAGTCAGATGTCGATGCATGGACGGAGGAAGAGGTTGGGGAATGCTTATTATGTGTCAAATAAACAGAGTAGGATGTTCATGGTGATCTGTGGGTGGGGCTTGTATGAGTGGTCACTGTGAAAACTTCCCATAACAAATGCCGAGGCAGAGGGAAGGGGAAGAGGCTGGATGGCTTGCCTGCATCTGCTCCTTCTTGACTTCTGTTTCTTGTGGTAACACTGACGTACTTAGCGAAGACTGACGGTTACCCAGGTTGTTTGGGGTGGTGCTCAGAGTTACTCTCTCTCTCTGTTAACCAAATGAAGTTGAACGTCTCCCATGAAGACGGCACTTGCTCCCTAGTTATTCACATCCAGTGAGGTCAATAAGGTATTTGTCTCGCTATTCCAGAACCATCTGTATTTCACATGACACCTTGTAAAACAGATGGGAATCCAGCCACAGAACACATGGTTCTGTTCTGCCCCAAACCCTACCATGCACAGAAAAGATATTTAAAAAGCAAAATGCACCCTTTCTCCAGAACTCATTATAAAGTGAAAATGAGGAAGTCGTGTTGTTTGGAAAGAGCAGCAACTCCAAAGATTCAAGAAGGAAGCAAACGTGAAACACACTCCAGACAGGGCACAAGGCTGCAAATGTCGGAATGACATGGAGCCCCAAGAGGCCACAAAAGGAGCTGATTGTGGGGCCAGTCAAACTCATAACACTACACCGAAATCTATAACACACAACCTGTGCTGAGCACAGTGTTTTCAGGCTTGATATTTTCTGAAGCCAGCCTATACATTCAGTGTGGTTTTAGGACTTTTGTAGGGATGGACAGGCAGATTCTGAACTTACTCACGGAGAACATGAGACTAGATTGTTAGAAATGAGTAACTGTGGGACACCCAGCCTCTCAGAATCAAAACTGTTCTGAATCTGTCCTTGGGTATGGACTCGGCATGGGGATTACTGCCAGAAACTAACAACCTAAGACAGCTCATGGGAACGGCACGATTTGATTTTAATGTCATTCCTAATAGAAAAGATGGACATTTTATAAGTGCTGTTGGGACACTTGGTTATTTATTTGGGGAAAAATGAACTGTATTTTATGCCATGCACACAAGGATGTGAGTCTTCACTGGTAAAGGAAGAGAAGAGGGGCCACAGGGCTGGCCAGCTTGGTGATCCGGTTTGAGTTTGTTGGTAAAGAACACACACCCTACAGCAAATTCTGTCCCCTAGAAATGCAGTAATTGTGCTGTTCCCACCATTTCTGTTCAGTGTCTGCAAGTAGAAAATGATGAATTATCTGCCATCATCTCAGAGCACACACACAGGCTGTCCCTAGACACCATCACGTAGTATCACAGTCAGCTTGTACAGCGAAATACCTGAAATGGGTTAATTCATAAGAAGAAACTTTTACTTTTGCATAGTTCTGAGACCATGAAGTCTGGGATCAAGATGGCAGCCTGTTCGGTCATCTGGTGACAATCTGTCTTTACATGGTGGAAGGCAGAGGATAAAGAGTCAGATTCTGTGGTCTCCTTTCTAAGGGCCTTAATCCACTCCTGAAGGACAAGCCTTTATGACTGAATCACTTCTCAAAGCCAGTGTCTCTTAACACTATTACACTGGCCATTGAATTTAAGCCTGAATTTTGAAGAAGACCCAGCTGAACTGTAGCAGATAGTTGTAGGCAGAGTTTTTAGTCAGGACCACTGGCTCCCCAAATAACCACACAGAGATTTATTATTTATAAATGCTTGGCTGATAGCTTAGGCTTGCTACTAGCTCTTACTAATTAAATTAACCCATATTTCTTATCTGTGCTCTACCATGTGGTGGTACCTTTTTTCAACATGGCATGTTCATCTCCTGCTCCCTCTCATTGGCAACTCAGCCCTCCTTCCCAGTGTTCTCTCAGTCTGGCTCTCCTACCTAACCTCTTTCTGCCTAATTGGCCAGTTGGCTCTTTATTAAACCAATGAGAGCAAAACATCTTCACAGTGTTCAATAGGATTATTCCACAGCATATAGTCGTGGTGACAGAGTTAGATTCTTGTCCTGAATAGAAAGCAGTTACCAGAGGCACATATAGACTCTATTGGTATTGGTTTATTTTATTTCTTGGATTTCCCATTTTAACTGTTGGGATAGGGTATAAAATATTCTAAGTAAGGTGGCCAATTTCATGAGCTGTGAATAGATAAGAGAATGAGCCAGACATCCATTGGGGGCATTGGAGTAACAGAAGGACAAGAGGCCTTAGTAAGGAGCAAGATCCCAGGATAGTTGGAGGATAAGTGAGTCAGGAGAAGGGCAAATAATTCCAGGAAGGCACCAAAGTCTAGTTTATGTGGAACCTTTGTAAGGAAAATTCATTCTGGGGTCTTCAGGGACAAGGTGGCTAATGAGTGAACAGTCTCTGTGTGATTGAGGTTCACAGAGATGGAAGGTAATGGGGGAGGTACAGTCAAGGAATTGAGTGCAAGAGGCAGAGGGTTAGTATTTGCCTAAAGATCAAAACATGTTGGAAAAGCTCCATGTGGTAGAATCCAGACCTCAGACAATCAGGGCAGGGCCTGCCTTCTAGGTGAGCATCCATAGAGTGCTGCCCAGGGGACCCGGGTGATAGTTCAGTCTGTAGCTTTTGCTGTGCAAGCATGAGGCTTGGATTTGAGCTGTAAAACCCTTGTGGATGAAGCATGTGCTGGCTGGCAAGACGGCTCAATGGATAAAAGCACTTGCAATTTAAGCTTGATGACCTGGGTTCAATCCCTGGAGTTTGAAAGAACCAACTCCTGAAAGTTGTCCTCTGACCCCTATATGTTTACCACGGCACACACACACACACACACACACACACACACACACACACACACACACACACACACACACACACACCTATTCTCCAGGTGGAGCCAGAGCACAGAGGGCTCCATTACACTACTCGGCTTGGGTCTCTATGGTTCTCATTTGATGCTGAACAGGCCCAACTCCACTGCTTCCTCTAGACCGCCATTGTAAACCTGTGAAGCCACCTTGAGTCTTGTGTCTTGACCTGCCTGTTCTCAGTCCAGCCAGGACCCTGCTCTTCACAAATCCAATGGTATGAGTTGCCCTCTGACTGTGGAGGCCTTGGAGAAAACCATCCAAAATAGGCATTATTTTATCTGTGGTGTCTGTTCTCTCTTGGTCCTTCACTGCTATTCAAGCATGAATTGAGGCAAGGAGCCAAGGCTGCCCACCTCAGAGAACAGTTCTCATGTCCTGCTGTAATTGGATTGCTAGCCAAGGTTAGCCACAGTAGCAAGCAATGGAATGGAAGGTGAATGGCATTTGATGGGAAGAGTGGGCAGCTGGAGCTGTTTCTTATTTGCTCACAAGGTTCATGTGAATGCTAGCAGGGTGGCCCTCGTGGTTTGTGACCTTGGTGCTAAAGTGGATTCAGATTTTTAGCCCACAGGACAAGAGTGGTAAAAACCAAGGGTCTGTGGTTAATAAAATCCTGTAGGGAGAGAACACAGACTGGGCCTTTGTTTTCCCTGAGTTTCTGTGCATGTTCCGTGTGGATCCCATTGCGTTCATTCTTGTTGGTTTGCTTTTCTTGCCCTTTCGGTGGTGACACTGTCCCAGGGCTTTTCCAGGTGAGAGGGAACGGAATTGAGCTGTGACTCGTATTTCTTGGAAACCGATGATGTGTGTGGGTTATTGATTTTGTGGCAACTGTAAGGATTAACCACGGACTGGAAAAAGCCACCCGACTCAAAACTGAGCTCTGTGTATGAGCCTCATGCTCACATTGTCCATTCACACAATGAAAATATCCTGAGAATGGTTTCATGATGGAAACACAGATAAAATTAGAATGACGGGAGACAGAGATTTTTATAAGCTTTCCTTCCAAAACTTGGAAAGATATTAATTCTCATGCACCACCTCATTCTTTGAGCTAAGCCAGGGCTGGTGAGTGTCCATCCATTGGTTCTTCTGAGCAACACTATACGGACTGGCCAAAGCTACAGGGACATTGAGGGTTATTATTTTTTCTTACTCAAGTGTCAAGTTCATTAAAGCAATTTATTTATTTTAATTTATTTTTAGAGGGGGAAGCCAGGGCTGCCAGTTTATTGAACATTCCTTATTTCCTTTTCCCACGTGTGTGGTGGGGATTTCAGGGTCAAGGCGAGTCAGTGTTCTAGGACACATTTCGGGTCCTGTGACAGGGTCAAGTCGGATGCTTTTAGGACTTTGGGACTTTGATTTCGTAGGAGAGAATTATTTCTGTGGTGGATTATCACAGACTAAAGAGTGCTGGGCTTCTCTGGCGTCCTTTGTAAGTTCGTTCTTTCTCTTTCCTCTAGCACAACACAGCGGGCGTGAACTGTGAGAAGTGTGCCAAGGGTTACTACCGGCCCTATGGCGTGCCCGTGGATGCGCTCCATGGATGCGTCCGTAAGTGTCATGTCATGCCTATGACAGTGTGTGTATACTGCCCCAAGGGTGTCATGGCTCAGGGACCCTGGTGGCCTTTGTCCCTAGCCTTTGCGTTACTGGTTCTGCTTCTTTCTGGCTGTGCTCTCTCAGGAGACTCCATATTTTCTCTAAACCCCAGAATTCTTACATGTAAATAATAATGATAATAAATGTATTTCCTAACAGTACTCGAAATGCTATCAAAAGTGTGCAGGGAAGCACTTAATTCAGTCAATCAGTCACCTATCAAGCCTGTAATAGATGGTGCATCTTCATTTTTTTTTCAAACTGGTTCGACCTATTTCTATGTTTTCCAATACTTTCAAGTTTGTCATAATTAACATCAAAACAGCATAGTAATGAGTCCACAAAGATTTAGTCATCGTCATGGTGGTTAGCTGTGGGTGAGTGCTTACTATGCACAAGAGATTGTGTAAGACAGTGGGCGTTGCTGAGGGGTGTGAGGACAGTGTGTTTTATTAATACAGCGAGGGACTGCTCACTCAGTGATTATCTTTCCTCTTAGCTTGCAGCTGTGACCCTGAACGTGCACATGACTGTGAACAGGGGTCAGGCCGCTGTCACTGTAAACCAAATTTCCACGGGGACAACTGTGAGATGTGTGCAGATGGCTACTATGACTTTCCATTTTGCTTGAGTAAGTATCCGGTGTAGGTGAGCGCCCCCTGTCTGGCCCATCTCCGTGTGGGAACAATGGAGAGCATGGAGGGTGTATGAGGGGCTAGAAACAGGACCAAGTAGGTTGCATTTACATGAAAGCATTTCCCTAGGTCTCAAAGACAAATTTTAGAATTATGTTTAGCTTGGCATTGTACAGTAGACATTGCCATTTTAATAGGTCAAGGGCTCAAATACCGTGAGATTCAACTTGATAGTAACCCATGAGTGTGACTTCTTAGACCTAGTGCATCATTCTTTGCAGGGTTGGGGGCAAGATGTGTTTTCTCTTCTCCAGTGCACAAGAGGGCAGATGTCGGGGCCCTCGTCTCCTCCACCCCACTACAAAGACCTGAATGAATATGTTAACATATTCATGAGGAAAAATATATGTATGTATGTGTATATGTATGTATGTATGTAGCATGTATGTTCTCTCTCAGGAGAAGCGTGATGTATTCTGTCTTGGAAGAATGTGGTGGGAGAAGTGGGGACCTGGGACCAGCCTGTTCAGTGTATACCTGCTGTCCTAGAATGTCATCCCAGAGTGGTGATTAAGCAGCGGCCGTTTCACTGTGAGACGTTCCTACTCTGGATAATCAACTATAGTTTAGGGAACAATGTCTGAAGCCATTGACTCTGTTTCAGGCGCTTGCCCATTTAGAATCTGGGACTGGGAGGTTCTATAGAAACTGCCCCTGCTTTTTCAGTTGGAAAAAGAAGAGGACACTTCAATTTTTTTTTAATGGAGTAAGCAAAAATTCAGGGAAAAAACTTAGAAGAAAACCTTCTTTCAAAGCCACTCTTTGTTTTACTTAAAAAACAACAACAGTAAAATTTCTGTTTAAAAAAATAACCATAAATGCTATTCATGTTTAGGCATAGCTATTCTTTGGGCTTAACTGTTATGGGTGATTTAGCAATTGTGAGTATAAAATGCCCCCCATTTCCTTTCGCTAATCAGCTAAGCACCCTGGCTTCAGTTATGAGGCGTGTTGGCCATGGAGAGTGCAGGGTCTTTCCTTAATTCAGTCTCTATGTGTGGCTTTTCACTGAAGGAGGGGCCTTCTTTCTGCTTAATGTAGCTTGGTGGTTCATGCTACTATCTCTGTAATCTGTGTTTTTAAATAAATTATTTTATAGGAATTCCAGTCTCTCCCGTTTACACTCTGAGTCCAGAAGACCCAGTAGCTGGCAATATAAAAGGCAAGTAGCCTCTTTTGGGTTTAATGTCAACGACAATACTATGTTCCATTCCCTTCCTGGTTTCTGAGCACACTGCCAAGGCCAAGTGAAGTCCCAGAGTGCCGTGGGGCTTTTGCAGAGTCTCCTGGCCATTCCCAGTCGGAGTCTGTCTTTTGAAAGGGCACTGCCCAATTCAGGGGACTGGGTAGAGCTTGGATTATAGATCGCCAGTTTGCTCAGAATCCTTTCATAGTGACCTTCCTGCCCCACGGGGCCACCTGTCCCACCCACACGAACTTAGTGCAAGTACTGTATCTGGGAGGAAGTTCCGGGAAACAGAGGACAGGAGTGGGAAGGGCATGTGTGTGAGGTGTGAGGCATCACAGCCCCTCTGCATCCTGGCTGAGGTTCTGTGGTCATGCAGTAGTTGGGGTCTGGGCTGCATGTGGAGGGCAGGAGGTGAAATTATGTCAGAGGGTGAGGCTAGGAAAGGGAGGCTTACCAACTGAAATAGTCAGGCGTGGGAAAGAGGGAGTACATAGTCCTTAGGACAGGACTGTCCAGTAAGCAAAAGCCCAGAGGTGTGACAGTGAGATGAGTGACGAGTGGCCAGGAAGGGAAGTGCCAGGGCCACCGTTACCAGCCACTGTGAAACATTTAGTGTTTGTTTGGAATGAGACAGGGGTTTTGCACAGAGAGACGTTACATGTAAGGACCCTTCTGGGTGCTGTCCTGAGAACAAGTTACAGGGGAGAAGGGGTGCAGAGACCCAGTGGGGAGCCATTGCAGTCACCTAGGAGGAAATGATGGTGGCTGAGACCCAAGTGGCATCCCCGGAGGAACAGGAGATGGGTGTCTTCCACAGAGAGAACCCGACAGACTTGAAGGGGGATTTCTGAAAGATAAATGGGGCTGGTGGCGGCGCTGGTTACCACGTGGAAAGGTCACGGTCACGACAGAACCCAGTGTTAGGTTTTAGAGCTTTATTAGGAGGGAAAGTGGAGGAGGAGAAAGAAGAGAGCCAGGCCTGGAGAGAAAGATGGGGGGGGGCAGGAAGCAGAGCAGAGAACAGAGAGAGAGCAGAGAGAGA